GGGGGGCAAAGAATGCATTTTCTCAGGTTTTGTCAGTTTGTTGGAGTGGTTTGTCAAGATTTCAAGATTTTGTATTCACTTCAGACATACAGTTCGTGTGTAACTGGAGGTCACACTTCAGATACATTTTATAATGGCAGATCAACTGGACATATGGGTGCACAATAAAGTAAATAATACATACAAAGCATACAAACTAGGCATAGCATAGCATGTCAGAAGAGTACTGATCCTATACAACTTTCCCATTGACAGCTGCTGCATCATGAATTGCCGTTGCTGTACGGTACCGACCGCTTAGTTTCCGTTGACCAAACAGGGAAATAAGTTGTCCTGTGGATGTCTACCTACCGGGACATAGACTGACACGTCTGAGGTGTACCCGCTGACCAATGAACCGTAATTGTCTTGTCCAATGTGTACTTACCGATTCAGGTTTTCCGTTGACCAAGTCATAATGTAGATGGGCTGCCTCGGCAAAAGTGTCGTTCTCAATAAGATCGTAGATGGCCACTCCAGGGTAGCGGTCAGCATGAACGGACATCAAGACCAGGCCTGACAGACCTAAAAACATATACAGAAGGCTTCACCAGATCCTGCTAGAAAACACATACATATTTACGTGGTACTTGTTTCAGTAGTTCATAAGTGAGTTTTCGTTCGAAAGGAGTTACATGCGTTAACCAATGTTACGACAACTACAAAATGTACAGTAAATTCGTTGTTATCTTTTGTTTTCAATCAAATGCCTTCTTATCCACATCATAGGCCCTTTCATAAGTTTTTAACAAAGATGACGATCAAGCCATTTTTGTATTTGCTTTCTTTTCGGATTAAACAAAATCATCCTTATTACTGTAAGGTTAAAAGGGTGTTATTTTACAGTTGATGATATTAAAACGATTCAAGTCTCTTCATCAAACACGTCAATGTTCTTGTAGCGTGTATTTTTAAGTAATCAACGAAAATTCAACTTATCTTCAAGATTTTTAGAGTTCAAGAAATCTGTTTTGTGTCAAGTCTAGAGACAGATCCGGGATTCTGTAAACATCATGGTGGTAGTTTCCAAATTAGTTATGTACATTAAAGACCAATGACAGACTCGAGGCTTTATGACATCTTTTGGCACCTCTTTTCATGTGAGCTGCAACAATATTCGTATCGTATCGTGATACTTTGTTTGTGTGTATCGTATCGAATCGTTTTGTTTGATTGTATTGCGATACACTTACAGTGCTGAAATCATCAATCAATTTTTATCAAACTTTAAAAAGGTGTACTGATTTTTGTATCCTTCTTTGAAGATGAAAACTCGATAAAACCCTGTATATTTGTATCGCGATACGTATCGATTCGTATACATCGTACCGCGATACGTATCGTATCGTGAGGTATCGTTGCAGCCCAACTTTAAACAGAAAACGGAATGATAATCAGTTCTCTACCATTAAATGATATGCTGCTTGTCGTTTTGGCGATGACTGCTCCGCTGAGTGGGCGGGTGGGCGTAGGTACGTAAGTCGTATTGAGGACCTTGGCGTATAACAAGATGGCGTCGTGTAGGTAAATCGAGTACTTGTCTGGCTGGACCAGGAAAGAAATCAACAAACATTTATAATAAATCACGCTGTACCTAGTTGATAAAAGAGTAAAACAGTCTATTATGCACTATGACGCACCGTGTACTCTGCTGCTGTAGTTGCCTTATAGACTTGATTACTGTACAATTATCCTATGAATATTCAACCCAATGAACTTCCTCATTTCATCATTCTCGCCGAGCTGCCACAGGCAGAAAGAAGTGAATATGATTAAAAACTCGCTCGATGAAAATCCCCCTTCTACCTAAAAATATGCATATGACGACTGCAGATGTATCATTTAAAAAAGTCTGACACTTAAAACACATGTTTCACTCGTTATTATCAGGTAGAAAAGATAGTAATTCTATCTTAATTGAAGTGTCTAGATGTTTCGAACATCGACTCTGCTTAAGAAGTAAACTAATGTTTGATTAGTAAAATTGTTATCTTGTTTAACTCCATGAATAACTCTTTATAAAAAAAGTCTCTACGTAACGGGACATTCTACTGGAAAGTTGAAAGGCAAAAATCCAAAAGTGTATATTTGAATTCGCCTCCAATGTCTCTACTATTACTTTTTTGGCAAATATGTTTATCATTGCTCAATTCAAACGGCTACATTATGAATCGAAGATCAGTTGTCGAAATTTAAGGACTGTATTTTAAATACTCAAAATTATCTATTTTTCTATTTGCATTATTTTGATAAATACAATTAAAGAACATTGACGTTCAGACTATTTCGATGTAATACCTCATATAAATCAGGCATGTTGCTAGATCCGGCAGGGTAAACTCTCGCCGCGGCCTCTTTAGCCAGCTGGTGCCAGCCTCCGATGTCGTCGTGTGTATTTCCAAAGACGACCTTTATAATCGTGAGAGAAAAAAAAATGCTTTACAAACTTCCGAATCTCTTTAAACGTTTCTTTTTATTAAATTGCCCGGCTTTGCAACTTAATATATTTGAGGAAATGGCGTAAATAATGTTGTAATAACTTGTGCCCAATCATGTTGTCACTATTTAGGCAATAACATATGTTTAAACTAAAAAAGCAACTTAATTTTATCAAGCGTTCACATTTTTCGTCGGTCCGTATCTACGTTCATGTTATGCTTGAAAAATTGACACCCGTGTTGCTAGGGAAAGCGTTCACATTTAAACAAACAGTTAAAAAGCGAATATAAAAACAAAGATAATTGTACACTAAACCATGTTCTAGTAGTCCCAACCACAACATCACAGTACAACATCGCTAAAAGACGGTTTCCGACGATTTGCGCTATAGTTCACTGTTCAGTAGCGCTATTTTTCAAGTACAATGAACCTGTATCGAAGAAGGTCCAACGTTTCTATAAATACACGATGTACACATAATGAAATTCGAATGACAATAAAGTGCCAACATGACACGATATAATTGCAAACTTGATTTTTGACCCATAATGTGTAGAAATTTCCATTCGAATTTCATGCTACATCTGTACATGTATATATGCAGCTTATCTGGTTAATGGTAAAGGTCACGGGTATTGTTATGGATGAATATAGTATTTGTACAAGTAAAACACACTTGATAGGAAAATACACCGTGCAGACAGATTGGCCAGTCAGCTACAGTAGTTAGGCCCATCGGGATAGGATTATGAAGAGTATGAATATTTAATAGCATTGCTTCAATTTATCATAATGTTTGTATTCGTTACTGCCGTTTTTAATGCATTACAACAAAATTTCTATCAATAGTTTTTCAACATGTTTACAGGTATCAATAACCAATATTTAACCCCCTGGTGACGCAGTGGATAGCGCCCCTGCCGTTCACCAAGACGACAGGGGTTTGATTCCTTGATCGGACGTAAAATATTACTGGGACTACTGTCTGACCCCCCACCCCCCACCCCCGACCCCCACCTCTGAGTTTTCTTCATGTATTCCGGCTTTTTCCAACAAGAGCAAGGTCGATTTCCGTTTTGTTTATAATGGTTGTCAAATAAACAAAATCAGTGCAAAACTTTGAAATAAAAGCTTACTTACATAAAGTACATTTCTGAATGCCTGTTTAGCTGCAGCGTCGTGGCCGTCTCCTTTCTGCCATATTGAAGTTGTCGCTAGACGCTGAAAGTCGCTCTCGGACGGAAGTGTCGTTTTCACGAAAACGAACTGGTAGTCACCTGCGGTCATGCTCAGTGCGGCGGCTCTCAGCATGTACCGACGGAGATCTGTTTCCGGGACGACCATCACGATTACTGTTAACAGAATGCATATTCAGTGATTATATCGTTTGGATATTGTTACCATGCTTATATTATTTAATTTGTATAGAAAATAAATGTCATAGTTTTAATTCAGATAACATTGTGTATAAAATTATATAATAATAAGTAAGATGATTATATCATTTTCTTCAAAGCCTCCGGGATAAAATGAAGGTGCTCAAGTCCAGCTGTCAAGATTTATAGAAAGGTTTATTAAATCATCAAAACATATACATAAGAAACAAACCTATTTTGGCAATTTCAATCTATTACACTAAAATATCTTTCTATTGTAGCTATTTGTTAATTGGTATTTTGGCGTTATAAAAGGAATTATCGGTAATTTGAGCTATACATGGAAAGAAAGTGTTGATAAAAACGGAGACGTTGAAGTATTTCGGCGGTTACCATGATGCAAAAGAAAATGTGAATGGCATTGCTATATAAAGACTGGACTGTACTATCTTGTTCGAAGTTGTCTAAATGCTAGCTTCAGATAATGAACCCCTAAAGAGGATAATTGATTTAGTGTACCAAAGTATAGAACAATGCAAACAGATATATGATATTTCTTTTCGCAAACTTATGTGTAAGCAAAATGTTTCTTGTATGTGTACGTACTCCTACTCTCGTCTTTGATGGCTTGGAACATGGCGTCCACTTCCGCTTCCGTCATGTTCCAGTTTACCTCCGAGTAGTGATGGGCGATGTAGACGCCAAGGTTGTCATGCGGAGACTGCAATGTTGCCACGATGGCGTCGGCATAGCCTTTAGACACAGCGTCTGATGCGGATATCAGGACAAGCCGGAACCACTTAAGACCGAACATGAAGAATGTCAGAATCCCGCCTGTTCCAGGAAAAGAAAGATACATTGGCTATTTTTAAAATGCGGGTTGAAGTATAACATTTGTTTCGGCATATTTTGTTGATTATAAACTTAATCAATCGAACAGAAAACATAGCATATGCATTCCTTACAGTAACCTTATTGACTATATACATGTACTTGTTCGTTATATATATCGTTTTGCATGTCCGCTACGTGTAACTGTGCATATCCCAGACCAACCCATATTAATTTGGCCCCGCCAAATCCGCTCGGCACTCTTCATATCTGCCTGACGCACGCCATATCCGGCTCAGCACGCGCCATATCTGCCCGACGCACGCAATATCTGCTCCGCACGCTTCATATCTGCCCGACACACGCCATATCCGGCTCAGCACGCACCATATATGCCCGCCGCACGCCATACCCGCTCGGCACGCACGATATAATATATTTTGTACTGTTGTATACATATTTAAATTTTAGTTTTTCATACTTTATAAAAATGGTTTAATATGGAGGTTTTTTTCCCTTCCCCTTATCGACCCGAAAAACTATATTTTAGAGGGGTCAGACCTCTAAGTATTAATATGTTGGATATCCTTCTTTTTGTCATATGAGGAAAGGTTCGTGCCTGGCATTGCTTGTTACGTTCACCCCAGTAATTAGCCTATATAAGGCAATACAGTTGAAATATATTATTTCAATCAATAAAATTGTATTATGATAAAAACAATGATTAATGAGGACCTGATACTGTATTTCCCTAGGTTTAATCCTTCCCGCACTCACTCGTATTTTTATATTATGCGAAATAAAGTAAGGGCGGTAACTCTAACATAGTTATAAAAAATGGAAATGCATGTTGGAATTTAGAATAGTTAATGTATATTACAACCATTAAATCAATACACATCTTCTGTGTGAGGCTTAAAACTGTCATATTTCCACAAAGATGTCGTCAGCCTGGCATATGTATTGATCCATGCGGTCAACCATGTTATTGCGTAATACATGTACCACATACATAATACATGATGTTAGAGTAACGGGAGGTAACTCCAGATCGAGTTGTAACTGTCAAATACGAGTAGTGTACAAATGTACATGTATAGTACACACAAGGAGTTAATGAGGTCGGCGCGGGGTCGTATTCAAGCAAACCCAATATGAGAGCAGAGAGGGACAGGATGTTGGGGAACACACTCAGGTGTTTAAAAGGACAGGATGGTAAGGTTCATACTCAGAGTTGTTTAGAGAGATGCTGAGGTAAATACTAATTGTTTATGGGGATGCTGAGGCACATACTCAGTGTTTAGAGAGATGCTGACGTATAGACTCAGTATTGAGAGTAATGCTGAGGTACAGACTCAGTANGGAGGGGGGGTTGTCGAGAGGGACGGGATGGTGAGTTACATACCTAATGCTGAGAGGGGCGGGATGGTGAGTAACAAACCCAATGCTGATAGAGTCGGGATTGTGGGGTAAATTCCAAATACTGAGAGGGACGGGATGGTGGGTACATTCCCAATGCTGAGAGGGACGGGATGGTGGGGTACATACCCAATGCTGGGAGGGACGGGATTGTGAGTTACATACCTTATGCTGAGAGGGACGGGATGGTGAGTTACATACCTTATGCTGAGAGGGATGGGATGGTGAGTTATAAACCCAATGCTGAAAGGGACGGGATGGTGGGCATCCTCGATAGCCATGGGTTATGCTCACTTTCGCTCTTTACATCCCAAGGATATATGTCATAGCAAAATTGTGAGCGTAACCCCTGGATATCGAGGATGGATGGTGGGGTACATACCCAATGCTGAGAGGGACGGAATGGTGAGATACATACCTAATGTTGAGAGGGACGGGATGGTGAGTTACATACCTAATGTTGAGAGGGACGGGATGGTGAGTTTCATAATTGTACATTTACCTATAGTGCTGAGAGGGACGGGATTGTGAGTTACATACCTAGTGCTGAGATGGACGGGATGGTGAGTTACATATCCAATGCTGAGAGGGACGGGATGATGGGATACATACCTAATGCTGAGGGGGGACGGGATGATGGGTTACATACCCAATGCTGAGAGGGACGGGATGGTTACTTACATACCCAATGTTGAGAGGGACGGGATGGTTACTTACATACCCAATGTTGAGAGTGACGGGATGGTTAGTTACATACCCTATGCTGTGAGGGACGGGATGGTGAGTTACATACCCAATGCTGAGAGTGGCGGGATGGTTAGTTACATGTACATACCTAATGCTGAGAGGGGCGGGATACTCATGACCAGTGTGTTGAGTTCTGTCTTGTCGTCCAGAGAATCTTCGTTTCCCAGCCACTGGAACACGGGGATGTCACGGTAGGACGCCAGCTGGGCTATAGGGATCATAGCTGGGGCAAACAGTTTTGATTATTAAAACTGACTTATAAAGATTAGATACAGTTTACAAAAAAAACATATTAATAGTATATGCAACAAAATGAGTAGTTTTTTTCACTCGAACAGATACCATTTGTGCACTGACGTCATCAGTTTCTGTATTGACGTGTTTGACACTTCAACTGTGGTAAGTGCACGAAGTTTCTTTGACAAATATAGAAGACGATGACATATAATTCCAATCCTGTAATCCCACAACGGGTCATTATGATGAATACTAAGCTACAGGTAATACTGTAATTTAATCTTGTTAGACCGTACAGAAAAGATATAGTTCTTCCATAAGTACATATGTACCAATATGTGGTCTAAGCTAACCTTTTAATCCGATTAAATCTACATGTACTTCCCCGGTCGGTTCTACATACATTTGTAATTACATGTAATTAGCGGTCGTTAATGTCAATATCTGGTTTTGGGATTTACACAGACGTCTGTAATACACCGTATCAAACAATGAGTTGATAAGTTGTATGGATTACCTGAAATAGAAGACAAGCTATTTTCTTCGTGAAAAGATCATACTGTAAATTAATCATCAAAGTGATATTTACGGTGGTTTTAATAGGTCCAATTTCATCATTCCTGTCTTTAAAAAGTTACATACGCGTGCATTTGTTAGGATGTTTTTACTCACAATTAAAAGCGTTACATTTAAATTTTCGTTTCCTGTATGTTGTGACCGCCTGTATTCTATGTATATAGTAGGGTGTTCACACACTGACCCAGTCCTGTTTAAACCTCTACAATCTGTTAGGTAAACACGAAAGGGTCAGTCCGACTCTAGAAGGGATACAATGATACAAAGGGTTTAGAATCGAACTGTACATATGCACCACGCTTTGACAAAATTCATGATGCGGCGGTAGTGATGGTTGCTGTTTTTAAACGGGGGTCATGCCTGTTTCTATGATCTTATAAAATTAACATATCTTGCAATTGAAGAAAAATAAAATTGTAGTTAACAGGTTTTGTTGGATGGTATGCAATTACCAGGAATAAGTTATTTTCTTTCCGTAAATTAATATAGGCAATCAAACATACATTTGATAATTTCTAAATTTCTTCATGTCAAACTGTGGGATAATACTAATATGAAAGAAATAATATACATACATCTGTAGCATTAAATCGCATGTGTTAGCTATAGGTGTCTTTTTACAAGCATACAATTACTAAACGGTTAGCATTCTATACATAAACTCTGAATTACGGTACATGTAATAATATTCCGTCCGAGGCCATGTACATGGTTAAACGGTTGTCAATGCAGTTATATATTATAAATGAATGATAACATCTTTCATACAATATAGTAGACACTAGGGTTGGTCTTGAGCGCATGATGGACACAATATATATAGAGCATGTAAGGGCGTTACCTTGAGTACATGTTGGACACAGTATATTGGGCATGTAAGGGCATTACCTTGAGTACATCGTGGACACAGTATATAGAGCATGTAAGGGCGTTACCTTGATTACATGGTGGACACAGTATATAGGGCATGTTAGGGCGTTACATTGTGTACATGGTGGACACAGTATACAGTGATTATATGGGCGTTACCTTGAGTACATGGTGGACACAGTATATAGAGCATGTAAGGGCGTTACCATGAGTACATGGTGGACACAGTATATAGAGCATGTACGGGCGTTACATTTAGTACATGGTGGACACAGTATATAGAGCATGTAAGGGCGTTACCTTGAGTACATGGTGGACACAGTATATAGAGCATGTAAGGGCGTTACATTTAGTACATGGTGGACACAATATATATGGAGCATGTAAGGCCGTTACCTTGAGTACATGGTGGACCAAATATGACGTCTACAGATGAGTTGAAGATGAAGTCAGTGAGGACACCTATGCTCTGTTTGCTGCTGCACGCCGAGTCGAGCCAGATTGTACTGAATCACAGGACGATAAATACACCATTAGTTTAATAACAATTACTTAATAAAACTTACTGTAAGAGGTCATCCAAATGAGAGAAAAAAGGAGCATATTGTACTTATAAAATGGTACTTTTGCGGATTTCTTGCGGAGGTATATCAATGAATTCAATGTCAGCGAATCCCCATGCTTTACACTCGATATGCTCAAAATTGTGAAGGCTTATGAAATAGAAACCCTTACCAAAAACAAGAAGGTTCTTCTAAATCTCACCTGCTTACGTCCTTGTTTAAGCCTTTTTAGCACAGTCGTTTTTTAAAACAATTTGTCGTCCTATTTTCACGTTGATCAACAACCCGATATAGTTACGCGCCTTAGCGTACTATTAATGGCGTATGGTATTGTTATAAAGTGGGTCAAAGAACATGACAAATTTTAATTTATATTTAATGTACTGGCATATTTATTGCGATAATTGACGGGAGGGTGATGAATTCACCTTCAGATTTAGATACAATTTCTTTGTCATGTACTTTATCAAACATGGTAAAGTAAACTGTCCTTATGTCGCTAGGAACGTATCTAGTCTTAATCAAATGCAAGTGAGAAAACAAAGGTAATTATTTTTGCCAGATGGCGTTTATATTGGCTATTATAGAAGCCAACCGGAAGCCGTGCAATAGTAAGTGATTGTCAGTTGACTTAGGTTTACTAGCATTTTGCAATTCAACGGTATCACAACGTTTACTCCGACATTAAGGCTTCGTGTAATTACCGGTACACATACATGTATCTTGTATATGGTACAATATCATGATTAAATGGTACATGTACGCCTATCTACAAAGTTTAGATATTGGTACGTACATCAGCGGTAAATTCAATTCATATAAAGATTGAATCTTGCTTTAGTCGATTTTATTGGATGATTAATTGAGTTGGTCTTGAAACGAATTTAATGAAATGCGAAATTCAAGACCAACTTTATTCATCACCCCATGAAATTGACCAAAGCAACTTTGCATTCAATACTTATATTTCAATCAACATGTGTCTGTTATTAAAGGGCCATTGACCAAATGGTGTTGTACGCTGTAAGTTAAATTCAGCCAAATTATGAAGAAACAAAACACAAAAACATATTTTAAATGTTATGCTTAATTTTTGTTGATGAATGCATATGTATCGCCACAGAATAATGTCTAGACGCAGTGCGCAGGCTCAGCTGCTAGTCTATGGCAGACATCGTTTTACTAACTCGAAGTGGAGAACCACTAAATGTCGAGGTTCCACATCTCCTGGGATGTCAAGCTGCAATAATTCAATGTCGAATTAGACAGAAAACCAGACGTGGCGTAAAAGGACGAAAGAGTTTGATTTGGCAGTTTGCTTTTGGACAATATTTCATATATGACATGACCACATTGATCTACGCTCTTTTCTATTTGAACCGAGGGTTAGTTTAAACTTTATTTTATTATCGGTATAACATTCCATATAAACAAACATGATATACATATATGATTCGAAAACAAGTACAAAGTACTTATGTTGATCCGTCTCCGTTTTTGTAAAACGGCGATTGGACGGCTCTGACTAATATTATACATATAGATATAGATAAGATATAGTATATATGTATATAGATACGATATGTTGTATATCAATTATATGGAAAAGAAGAGGATGGGGAGGAAAGAGGGAAAGAGGTCCAAAGGGTTTAAAGAAAAGGTTGTTGGGGTAAGGTATATAGCAGAGTAAATTGACTGCATTATGGGAGGGAAACTGTCTGAAGTATATTTTGTAAATTGGCACATGTCCATGACTGTACATGTCAATAAGGTCTTCAACACATAATGAATTAATTGTAATGAAAACTGTCCATGCCGACCCCTGAGTATATCGACATCCAGTGGTGTACATCAACCAGCTGTAATTTTAAATATTAAAAGTAACATCAAACAAGACTATGACAATTTGTATCCATACTGACGTGCCGTGACATACAGGGGCCGTACCAGTAAGGTATTACTATGTACTGCATGTAAACATACGTAAAATCAAAATGTAGATCTTCAAACTTAGATTCGTTTCGACTGGTTGATGAAATATTGAACACAGTCGAAGATATTCTCATTATATTTAACTGGCATATCAGGATTTCCGTACAGAAGAAGATTTACATTATAATCGGGAGGAAGGCCACTGAAGCATTGTACTCTTAGTTGTTGGTATTTCGGACAGAAGAGGAGGAAGTGTTCGATTATTTCAGCAGACTGATTACAAGTACACATGGGACTATCAACTATGTTTCGTTTATATAAATGACTAAAGAGAGAACTACAGTTCATCCTTAATCGTGCATGATAGATTTGGCCGAATCTACTTCTTCAGTAGTTATGGTCAGGGAAAAGGATGGCTTTTAGCATTCAAAAAAAAAAATGTGATTAGTAATCGTTGGGTTAGGCTTTATATTATCGGGAAATGCATTCCATAGATCAATAGAGGAGGGTAAGAAGGAATCCTTGTGAGTTCAACAGTTGATTTGGCAGTAATTATTTGCGATTCTAGTATTGTGAACGTGTGTAAGTCAGAATGACGAGCATGCAGTATGTTAACGGGTGGTCGGGTGGTGCAGTGGATAGCGCTCTTGCCTTTCACCATGGCGGCCGGGGTTCGATTCCCCGATCGGATGTGAAAAGTTTGGGATCACCTGCCCGACTGCGTGGGTTTTCTCCGGGTACTCCGGTTTCCTCCCACACTAAAACCCCCTAGCGCGAACATCCAGGCCAACAAGAGTTATTAATATAATTTGAAATAACTTGTTTCATAATTGTTGTAAAATAAATAATGTTTATTTATTAAGTGTGTTTGTTAAATGATATGGAATTGTATTTATGTTTTCTTCGACGAACAGAAAAAGGATCCCAGCCAGATTTTAAATACATTCGGTCACAATTAGTTAGTTTAATAGCCCTAGTTACAATTCTGGCTACTTCAAGCTGTATATTTCTAATAATTGATTTTGTCCAATCTTTATGTTTCCCATATTACATCACCATATTCTAAAAGGGGTAGTAGAAAAGTAAAATACATTTTTGTCAAGTCATTCTGTCAATACTGAATTTGAATTTCCTAAGAAAAAGAAGTTTCTTGGATGCTTTGCTGATTATATATTGCACATGGTTGGCCCACCCTCCGCTAGCTGAGATAAATACGCCGTTAGAGGGATATTATTCATAAAGAAGGAGGGATGAATTGGCTTTTTATTTTTCTTACTTTCAATCATTGTCACTGTATTGTTAGGGTTAACGTTAAGTTGACACTGTTTAGACCGATCATGGATTATTTTCAGATTGTCGTTTGTTAGGATGGCATTAAGATCCGGCAACTCCACTACAACGTAAAGGGAGGTGTCATCGGCAAATAATTTTATAATACAATTGATATCTTCGACAATGTCACGAAGGATAACCATTGGAGAAACATAAAAAAAATGTATCCGGATAGGATATGAACATGTTTGAAGAGACGATCGTATAATGCAGCGTGTCGGGTAAGAATGGTCGTGCAGGAAAAGCAAATAAGTTAAGGTGATAAAGGAGGTTAACAGAATGATGGTTATTCTTACCATCATCAGACATAAGGGGATCAGGTATATGCTCGTACATCTAATATGTAATAAGAGATAGAGAGATGTTGAGAAAATCAAAATCAACATTCGGTTATCCGGGTTGAACTGCATTAGCCATTGGTCCTCCCAATGTTGAAGCTTGTGGAGGTCTCTCTATAGGATGGCCTGGTCCTCTGGCGATTTGATCCTCCTGTACATCAGGCAGTCATCTGCGAAAAGTCGTGTAGTTGATGAGACTGATGATGGCAAGTCGTTGATGAAGATCAAGAAGAGCAGTGGTCCTAAAACAGTTCCTTGTGGGACTCCCGATGAAACGGTGGTGGCGGGTGATGATTGGCCATCGAGAACGACACGTTGTGTACGGCCTATGCGAAAGCTTGCTATCCAATCATGGGTGTGGCCCCTGATATCATAATGGTGTAGTTTCATCAGCAGTCGATTGTGTGGGACCTTGCCGAAGGCCTTAGAACTATACAGAAATATACTGTCTACCTGAACTCCGATGTCAAGACTATGCGCAAGATCATGGACGGACAGGATAAGTTGAGTCTCAGTGGAGCGTCGCTTATTGAAACCATGTTGGCTAACTGTCAGCAGTCCATGGCTGTCCAAGTACCTGATGCTATGGCTGTAGACTACATGTTACATGACCTTGCTGCACACAGAGGAGAGTGACACTGGCCGGTAGTTGACTGAGGAACTTCGGTCTCTCTTCTTGAAGAGTGGTGTGATGTTGGACATCTTCCATTCACTTGTGATTTTGCCTTGTTCTAAGGAGATCTGGAGGAGCAATGTCCTGGCTGGTGCTATCTGATGTGATGCTACCTTTACAAGTTTGGATGAGACCTCATCAGGGCCGGTTGCTTTGTGAGGGTTCAGATGATGAAGGAGTTTTTCTACCCAACCCTGGTGTACTGTGATGCTTGGGACTGTATGGTATGGACTTGGTCCCATGTTGGGTAGTGAATTGCTGATTCAGGATATCTGCATTCACCTTGGCATCACTGTACGCAATTCCATTCCGTGTTAGTGGCGCCACTCCACAAGTATCTGTACGCTTGCTTTTAATAAAACTCCACAGGCGTTTTGGTTTATGATCCTCATCCATTATGATGTTGTTGATGATTCGTTATACCGAGCTATTACACTGCACATGTTCAGCTTCACTATGACTACGGTTTTTTATGCGACTAGTTGGCGATTGATATTTAAGTAAATGCTTTGACAACAAACATGGCGATAAAATGTTGAAACAGTTGATCAAATAACAATGAGAGAAATGAAAAACACAAACGAAATCAGTATACTTAAGTCCGTGTACATCAGCGATGTACACTTAAGTCTGTGTGTACAGCAGACAAGGTCTGCTCGCTACATTTCGTATGACCATCAGTGGTCAACGTCAATCATTTGACCGAAGGCAATGAGATCTCGCTCTATTTTTCTTTGAGAAGAAATTTCCTGTTTGTTGTCTTAAGGCGCGGCCGTTCTTAACTACTTGTCGTGCAGGATAAGCGAGTTGACTGCAGAATTCCGTCAAATCTTCGTTAACGAAGATATGCTTGAATTGTTCATTTTTCCTGAAGTTTTTAGCAGATTTCAGAAACAAAACATTCTGATCAACAAACTGAGACGCATGATGATTTAGCGGGGTCTGGATTGGCCAAAGCCGGGTTTCCTCACACGATGGGACCTTTCGACGTCGTTTGGGCCCAGGTTGACCCCACATGCAGCAGCAACTTGTAGCACGGTATAAGTAGTAATCTCGCGCTCTTTTTCAGGGAAGCCGGGCAATCGAACTAGGGACCGCCGACCATTTTGTTCGACGTCAACAGTTTAGAGTTTAAGTCTCTCGTTCTCACATTCAAGCGATTGCACGCGGGCAGCCAAAGGGGCAATTTGTTTCTGGACCACGTCGGTAATGTCTTCTAGCAGTAGGTTCCTGACAGCTTTGGCTATGCGGTCTATATTCGATTCAGATATACCCATGGCCCACGGCTGTATGAATTGCTGATGCCAATGCGTTCATCATCAGTTGCTGAGCATGAATCGGGTTAGAGAGAGGGGTCGAACTGGCAAAGTATTGCTGGCTGTTGGCGCAAGGTGCCGTTATAGGAGGATCTGATGACATGATCGGTAAAGGAGATGAGGAGGAACTAGTGTCACTTGTACACCGTAGATCTGATGATTTAGATCGTTTAATGACTCTTGTTATAGATGGAGATGGAGTCGTGGTATTGGATAACAATGTATATAGCCCGTATATGCAGTTTTACGCATGAGTGATCACAGCTTCACAAAGTTCTTTCCATTTATATTAAATGCGCACATAACCGCATTTTAGCTTTATCATTGTACATTGTGTAATATCCAGTCCTTATTTGTCTGTCCTCCACGATCCATCAAGGAAGAATTTATCACATTTTCATCAGAGGTGAGCGAAGGCCGTCCACCTTGTATCAGGGGAGATCACTCTTCTAAGGGTGCTAACACTGATATTTGGTAGTTGCATTGAGTCCAACTTGAGTAGAAATTGGAATATCAAGCCTTGAATGTTGTGTGAGTACATGATATAAATATTGTATGGTATATTTATTTATGAAATAATCGTTGTGAGGAATGATATGCATCAATGAACGTAAGAAATGAAGTTTTGTCAAAGAGAGATATGTAAACAGTGGAACAGTGTAGGTTCGTGTCGCCAACCTCGGATGTGTCTAACAGATGGTACGACCATCAGATTCCCACCAGTGTACATTGTCATATCTCTAGCGTGTATGACAAGTCAGATAGCTAGCTAACAAAATACACAAACATAATTAAGGTCAATATTGCATAATATCAGCTGGAATAATTCATTGTAAATAAAAAGCAAACAGCTTTTCAAATGAATTTATGCGTTGATTGAAACGTGTTTCCTATTGTGTGGCGGAAACACTTAGGATAATATGAACTATGGCAGATATTGATCTGATCACTAAACCATGAGACGCGCGGGGGCGTTCCAATCATGGCGTAGGATTCATGTCAATAACATGGTCAGTAACAGAAGAATTTTTGCACTTCAGATTGTTACCCGTCTGCGGTATAAAACTTTAAATGTTTTTACATTTTGACACGATAACTTTAATAGTACCCAGAAATATCAAACATCAATGTAATCTTAACCAAAAAAGTGATATACGCTCGATTGTTCAGAAGAGATATTTTTAACGTTACTGGTACGTGGTACGTTTAAAATACCAACAGTCCGGTTCTAGAGTCGCTTGATAGAAAATATACAGTTTTACTAGATAAATTGTGCTAATTTTGTGTAATAATACAACATAAATGTACAATAGCATACGAGTTGGCCTTTGAAAATGAAAGCATGCACGGATTGCTCCTTAAACTCTTATTGACATAACACATTGAAAACGCAACAGGAGCACACTTAATTTATGGACGTTTTTCTGCAGACAAATGTTACCAACAAAATTGTATTGGGTTTCGGTTCTCTATTGTGAACGTAAACTTTAGGTTTGTTGTCGCGAAAAGCAACAAGAAATAGAGAAAATAGTCATTTTGGATTACTTTTTCTCAAAAATCGAAATAAATATCATCTAAAATAGGTCTTATAAAAATAATAGGAGAAAAAGAGCTACTGCTTCAATATAAGACATTTCAAATTCCTCTCGACTAATCGTTATACGATTATTTAAGACTTATTCAAATACTGTTGAAAATAAAATAATTATTAATTTAAAAAAAAAAACCAGAAAATGTCCACAACACAATTGAATAGGTAATATTCAAAGTTCTTTTTGAAGTTATGGACATTTCAAGGTTTTACCATGTAGGGTTTAAAAATAATCCGAATGATTTGCATATCAACATCAGCCTTCGGATGAGTGTTTTGATACAAGGATTCAAAAGAAACAACGAATGGTACGCTGATACCAATCCCAATTGCCTAAACCATTTTGACAGCCGTTTATTTGAATTTTAAAAGAAAATTTATCGATATGCTCTAGATTTTCGGCATAGTCCTTTCAACATTTGATACATCTTTACCTATTTTTTTTTTTTTAGAGTTGAATGATAATGCGTTCAAGATTTGTTATCTGAACATGATTCCGATATCTACCTTAGGATTTGCGCATCAAAAACGGCCTTGAGGTTTAGAAATTTTGCGAAATGGGTTTCGTACTTATCTAACATCATCCTGATGTCACTTTCATTATTTTTGTTACAATTCATTCGGAGTTTGAAAGGCACTTTTTATGGTACTCTAGAGTTTTCGGTATAGTCTATTCAACATTTGATACATTTCAAATAAAACATTATCTTAACAAAATTGTGATATGCTTGTATTAAAACACAGCAGTCAGATATAGTAATAGGTTCTTACTTCAGTGTTCCAGCTGGAAGTATGGATTCGTTATAAACCGTCTCTATGGCCAGAGCTAGCGCACCAAGGGATGTAGATGCATTCACTTGCAGGGTGGAATGTGGTGATGACCTGGGAGCCATCCATATCACTGTCAGCGCATGTGCGGAAACCGTAAGAAAAATCAGAAATAGAGAGGCACTAATGAGTTTGTGCATCCTCATCTTTAGTAAAGAACAACATGTGCTTTAAGCAATGTATATGCTTGTTTGGGAAAATGTTAAAAACATTATATTGACTTTCCTGCTGTATGGGACATCAGTGTTAGTCAGCTCGCTGATTTCGTCAAGTAGACTATTACAAACTCCTCAAATACAGGATAGATTATAGTATCAGTGGAGTGTATACTTGATAAACACTACTCAGTGCATTACTTATACACATATGAGACAACGTGCACAGATGATAACAAACAGAAACCACTGTGGGACTGTGTTTTAAATGAGCGTATTCGACTTTTGTCTGGTCCAGCCCAATCCAGTTATGCGTGGTTTGATTGAAGATATTTGTTGTTGTTTCTCGCACTCGGGCTTGTCTGTCAGCTACTGCTTTTGTGAAATAATATGTTCTTGTTTTGTTGCATTAAAATGAAACCTTCCCGTATTTGAGTAGGTACTGGCACCAATCGTCCATCACGTTATACAGTCAAACCTTGACACCACGCCCTTACACTTGGTGAATTTCAATATAGTGCCAATCATTTCATTTGCCTTTCCTTTTTCATTTCACCAAACCATTTATAGTGCCAAACTGTCAGTGTCCAAATGGTCGTTACATAATGGCGTTTTATTGTAATTATTCCTCAGCGTTCACTAAAACTTCTAACACAATACATTGCTATCCATCGTCCACTGTCCAGTAGAATTTCAAACACTGCTAGATCACGTGTAGAAACTAGATATCACTGCACAGGGAATCCTACTACATCAGACAGCACACCTTAGACACGTACTAATTAGTAAACGCCAATAGTATCTTCCCAATGGGTAACAAGCGCGATCGAATATATTATATCTTACGGTGTCTTAAATATGTGTAACCGCTAACCCAGCGTGCACCTGCTCCTCAACAGTTCATGTGTATTTGATGATTGATAAAATGACGATACATTTCTTTTACATAAACAACATCTTTGTTTACCAGCAATCAGTCCATCGAAAGATTAAGATATATTTAAACCGCATCACGAATCCAACACGTTTAAGTCACATAGTTATGATATCTGCCAGCACGATGAATCCCTATTAGTTAGAGTTCGGGTCATTACATGCATTCATATGCCAAGCACACATAAATTGATGACGTCATTGATTGATGAGCCTGTCAAATAGCGCGAGATATAACAAATCCGAACGTTCTTTAAACATTAGATATCAAAGCTCCAGCAATTGGCCGTATTATCACAAGGGGTAGATGATTTATGTCAACAGTTACTGGAGTGCTGATCAAACCGAGTCAACGACCACCCTGATTGTATTTTAAACACTCGGCTCGTGCAGTACCTCTAGTCGTGTGGTGGTGGTTAGAGTATGTCTGTATCTGTGCGTTCGTCTAGTAGGAAGTTTGTCTCTATCAAGTATGTTAGAGAGGCGAATATTGAGGATTATCTCTTAAATTTCAATTGTACATTGTCAACAGAGTTCATCTATATAACACTGACATCTCTGACAAAGCGATATATTACTATTATTTGCAACAATCATGGAGAACAATATCACACTTCGGGTGGTTCACATTCAAAAACGAACTACCAGAGGATGTTGTGTGTGAACTGTTCTAGAAACACCCCACTGGGATAATAAAAGCTTGTTGATGATAACAAGGCAGAAATATGATAGGTATGAACATCGTTTGCTGTCATTACATTTTCGTATGTATCATATCTTTAGTAATTATTTTGTATCCGATTTTTTCATTTATGTAAGGTTCCAGTGAAGAGGATTTGTATCTGGTGTCAAAAACATATCATAACATGTTATGTAGGAACATTAATATGTACAGGATGTTGAAGAATGTCTCATTATTTTAGATATGTGCATTAAGTATCAATGTGGTGAAAAATGCGTCTTTTACTTAAATTAAAACTTATGTTAAATACACTTGGTATGGCTACTTCAGGAACATATCAATGTCATTTCGATGTTTGGTAGCCCGCGTTAAAACACCGAAATTAATGTATTTCTTTGACTTTCACTGCACTCATCAATATATATATACATGTACAGTAGTTACCAACTTATAGGATCATCCTCTTTATTGGCAACGAAAAAATGAATAAACACAACATATAATTGAAAACGTTTTTTTTTTATTGAAAACCCATCAACAGATTTTATTTACCAATTTGTGAAAACAAGAATACACAACAAAGCTTATCCAAATACAATTATATCTAATTTCTCTTTCAAGGTTTCAGTAATAACACATAGAAAAGATCCTCTATTGTCACACAGACATACGTGGCGTACGGCTACTTCACGTTTAGCTTGAATTCTTTGTCTCCTTTTATTTCGTGTTGTTATTCTTATCCGGGAATCTACAATAAGTTTAACCCTATCGTACAACACTGCTAGGTGTCTGTCTAGGTTTATATCGCTATATTTCCATCAAACGACGTGGTCTTCCCATCAGTTCTCCGTATCTGTTTATTTATTGTTGCTAATGGAGACAGACCCTTCCTGTTATGCTAATTACGAACATAGCATGTGAGATCGTCATATCTCGATGTCTGTGCAGGTGTACTCTTTAGGATATTTTTTGCTGTAAGCTTAAATTCGTGGTTTTTGCGAACATACAAAGTATTTTACGAATATTTACAAACACGTATATTTCGCGCTAGCCTTCTGATTTACCGCAATATTTTATAAAAGCGAAATACTAATAGTCTTAATGAGATTGAACCGCAAAAGTTAATCAACATATTCACGTAATACATATATATATTTCATAACTGACATAATCAGTATGAACAGGACTTTTAATTCGAATTGGTTATCAAAGGAGTTGTAAGAAACAAAATCATAGACGTATACGTATATACTGAGAAATGGCACCTTGTACATACTACCAGAGTCGGTATTCCCCCAGTGTGAATTACTGCGAACATTAAAGTGCAAGATTGAATAGGAGGTGTAATCTAAGGTTTCTGTGAACATAAAAATATACCTATAAAAGCTTGGCTTACAGTAAGTTACTGAAATATGACAATTTATGTCAAGATGTAATCATGATTGTTTTCGAGTTGTCCCGAATATCTCTCAAAATATTATCACCACTTAAATAGGCACGTTTACAGCACTACTGCTAAACTTATACAGATGTATCCATTATAACACCTTAAGATTAAATTTGATTTACAAACACTTCCATAATTGAAATAATTAAACAGAGAACAACAGAGGTCATGGTATTTTAATTGATTAGCAATATTTTACAACTTACAATATTAATACTTTTTGCAATTAAATTGCAAAAGGTCCGTTCATGTGAGTCGTGTATATCAAGGAAATGGTGTCCCATACCCCATATAGTGTGAGGCTCTTAACTAACAGTTCTTATGTACGAAACTTCTGTAATTTCCTACCTCATAACCTAATTGGATTAAGAAATGGTTCGCATTTGATTTAAAAGGGGTTTTTCTTAATCTTATTCATGAGTAAGACAGCCTTTTTAACCTTTCAGGCATAAAAGTGGAATCATTTGGTAGTGCAAATCGTCCATCAATAAAGCCCTTAAAATTCGTTTGTTTTAGTCTTTTATAACCTGCATGTATAACCTACCGTTATAGAAGAAGAATCTCGAGAAAGTTTATGCATTTTGACATAACAAATCCAGTTTATTTGGCAATAACACCTAGATTGTTAAAATTCGGTCTTAAACAAAGGTAAGAAATATTCTACATTGTATTAACACAATACTCTACGAATCCGCAACCAATTTTGAATGAAAAATTACATCAGTTAGAAAAAGGCAAAGTAGTATATAACAATATTTTATTCTTATATTCATGAAACCGTTACGATGCTTTCTTACTGTGAACACTTACTTATCAGTGTAAGAATATCTTCGCGCACAACACCTACGCTTGAACTGCTTCACTATATAGAATATATACCCAGGCTTTGATAATTTGCTGAAAAATTGCATCACTAGCCTTCCACAAGTTTCAATTCGACACTTCTATCACAGTCCTCCAACACTTTTACAGTTCCATTTAAGGGGGGTTATGATATAATTTAACACATCGAAATACTAAATGGCATCACCTCATACGACGCGTCAGTATCAAACCCAATCTCCCGAAAGCTGTTTTTCTCCTTTTCTATTTATTAACACGTTTCATCAACTTTTTTATAATTAATTTATTTTAGGTTGGTAACACGATTGGAAATACACAGAAGGAGGTAAATTATCGAAATAACGGAGTGTTTGTATATTCCTCCAGGACCAACACTATGTGTTCCATTGGGGCACAGTTTTTTTACTGAAATATGCTGATATATAATTTCTGAGTAACACTGAACCTTTCTGACCCGACATATTTTTGTTGGGGGTCTGAACGGATGGAAGGACGGATGCTAACGACACAGAATACGAACGACACCCAAAAATACTAACACCTTTAGTTAAAACATCCATGCGTTCAAGAAATCAGTACTAAAACATCATTAACTTGTATCCATACACCTGTTTTATAATAAGTAAGATACTTACAACAGTCAACAGGTAAGTTCGTGTCTGTTTAAAGTCAGACTTGAGTTGTAGTCCTGTGTTAATTGACTAGAATACCTACGTACGTGCAGTATATTTCATAACAGTATTATTTACAAACTGTTAAGGGATTTCAATTGAAATCGAAGCGGTTGAAGTGACATAAAATTATAGTGTATTCCTATAATTCATAGAACGTTAGAGATACATGTATGATACATATATTTATAAAGTATTGGTCTTTGAAATCAATTCAAAATCAGATCTTTATGAACAGTCAGCATTTCTTCATTTCAATCTGAATTATCTCTAACTTAAACCATTATATTTAAAAAATATATATACCTTGCTTATTGATGGGAAATATTTCGCATGCAATTGTGCATGTTTTGCTATCATAAATGTCAACCTAAAACATATCTGGAATTAGAAAAAAATGAATGAAACAATTTGTATTATAAATTTTATTTGCATGCCAAAATTATTTTTTTATTTACTTCAGTCCTGATTCCATATCTGTACCATTATAAGTAAGGTTTATTTTACATGTGTATCGTTTCAAGAGACATGTTATGCCGCCGTTAAATTGTTAATAGAAATCCCCAAACTTTTAATAATTACACCACTGTGACGTATCAACATACATTTTTACAACAAAGACAACAGTCAAATTAAGAGGTTAGTATCGTAAAAACTCCATGAATGGAACAAAAAACACCAAAAATGAAATAAAGTAGGTACTTATAACTACTGTATGTAAAATACAGTTATTGCTGGAAAATTAATATCTATGTTTAAAAGTTTCTAATCACAGTCAATTTGCTTCATTCACCAATGTTAACAAGTCTTACACCGAGTACCAATATATCTAAATATCTCCAATTCTATTTACAAGTAGTTGTTAGGGAGGAAGTGTGTTCACGTCTGTCATGGTAGAGAGATACCAAACACATAATTGAGTCTCGTCAAACACTTGTTCAGCCATCTTCCTTCAGGATTATCCTCGGTCAACTACCTGAACAACACATTGTATGTCCTTTCAGTAGGCTGAACATAGTCTGTAGGATAGCATTCTTTTTTAGTGAATAATATGAAGAATGTTTTATGGGATATATCATTTTAGATTTAGGATATAAAACAGATAAATGTTCAGAAAACGCTGGTTATTCTCAGCCAAAACAGTTCTCAATAAAGATTTTTAAGCAAATCTTCTTTCCAGTTCAATATTATTTTGAATTGCATTTGATTGTTAATCTGATTCTCTGTCTACCGACACAGACGTGAAACAACATCCTTGTCACTCTATATATGATGATGCCATTCGGAACAACTCGCCCGATCCTGTACTTCATTTTGGACATGTGCTTTGAAAAAGTGATTTTCAAAAATAAGTAGTATTAATGTTACACCAACTATAAATTCTGCATATTTCCCGCTGTATTTATCAGGTAGCAGTTCAGACTAGATTTTTTTCCTTTTTCTCCATGTTCATGTCTGTTCGATATGTATTTTTTTAATGGGACGTTTTCATATATTTACTCTAACGTCACTGTCATTGACAAAATGAAAACCTGGACATTTTAACTTTGTTTGTATTGTATTAAAGCATATCTTTGAATATTGTACCCTTAATGAAATACTATAGCTTTACGTCGAATTTCTCTAATTTTGACAAAAATCGAGGTGTTCTATCATTCACTAATTTGAGAAGAATACTAGCTGAACATCTCTGTCGTACATCTTCTTCTTCGGTACAATGAAACAATGAATCTTAAACAGTTTAAAACTAAAATTCATCTTTTTTCAACACCGAGAAAATAACCTCAAGTAAGGGAATTAATGAACGCTTGTTGTAACGATTCTCAGGTAACGTTTTTTAATTCCATAAAGGAAACTTGCTGATTGTTTGAGCCAGATCTAAATCCTAAATTATCATTAGCCAATGGTGACTAAAAACAAAATCTGAACTGCGGAATGTCTAAAATGTTCTTTTTCAACAAAGCATTGTTTTTTTCTTACAACTTTTTGCAATACAAGACTAATAATATACTGTATACAGGATCAGACGCGCGATGTTCCAAAGGACGATAAATGCAGTTGTTCCGAGATTTATCTAACCTTGGCTGTGAGTTGTACGACTCAGCATTCAAGGGAAGAGTCTCGTTCGGACACCAGACCGACATATTTACCAAAGTACGAAACTACATAACACACAATAAAAGCTATGTACATGCCTTGAATAAATCTCACATATCACACCAGGAATACAATGTCAACCCTCGTTAATCCAGCTATCACTTAACTGGTTGTACCACTATCCAGCATACACGAATTTGTTTGTTTCACTTTCCAGCCATCACAAGTAGGAATGTACCACTATTAAACATTCCTTAATCCGTTTGTACCACTATTCAGCCATTACACATTCCAGTTGCACCATTTTTCAGTCAGATTATATTAAGCTGGCGAACATTTTCTCGTTTTCCGTTCATTGCTATCCTAAGCATTCTTCCTACATCCAGCCATGTTATAAGTAGTTAAGCACGAGACCCTATTGTATAACTTAAAATACTGTTGGCATTAGGATATTCTCTTTCTACGTGAATTGTTATATTTCAACTATCAATGACGTTGACTACGGAATATTTTCACAAGTGCAAACACTACTGAATGATTTGTAACTGTACATCACACGAGTTAAGACTATAAGTTGTCTTTTATAAAGAACAAATCACTTATAATGGATGAACACTTGACAAATAATGTCATCAATTGTGCATCACATAGTGTTGCGCCAAGCATGACGTCACACTGAAATCATAGCGTTAATTTATAATCAATTTTTTACCAACAGTTATTCGAATGATTTGAATATTATGTTACTTTCACCTAAATTCCTGATGTATTAACATATTCAACAGCTATATTAAGATAACCGTGGTCGATTACTGCCATGGATAATCCGGCTCAAAAATGAATTACCAAACTCGTATTAGCAAAACCATACTTCACTTCTCGTCACTGAGAATGAACGCAGCTTTTTGTATCAGTTGGCAAACGTTCTAGAGAGCGTACCGAAAACAAATGCATACCATTTGTTTCGCTTGTAATATACGACTCTTAATTAAGTTTATTGTTTCGTTTTTCAGCATTGCAGTCGTAAAAAGGAAAAAACTATCTTGCTTTTATTTGGAATCATGCCCTATTTTTGGCGAACAAAATTAATCTTTCCCCTACACGAATTTCCGAACATGATGCTTATGTATTGTTTAGCGTATATGATACTCACTCGTCTCTTCCTCTTTCTTCTCGTACTCCTCTTCCTCCCTCCATTATCACTCTCCTCTCGTGTGACAATGTATACATGGTGGTGCGCGTATATTACAGAGACAGCAAAGGATATTTACAAATGAAACATTACAATATATGCATATAATACATTAAGAAGGGAGTTCACCTTGCATATTAAAATGTCAAACGCATTATCCAACAGGTAATCAAAAAATAGTTTGATAATAAAACTGTGTGATATTGTAGATTTTTATCTTTGGGAAAACAACAATCAGAGCGAAGTATTTAAACACGATTACTGATACTGACAACTGTTTGCATCGCTTGTTGACTGAAGGTGCATATGGCTCCCAGCTAAATACATGGTATATCTGATACAGCGCAGTCATGACATACAACATTTAATTACTGATATTGTACATGAAGAAAAGACTTTAAGAAATATTAAGACAATTGAAATATCTTTTCTTATATTACAAATTTTGAAAGACCTCGATTGCATTTACTAAATACAATAAAAATTTCAAATACGCATTAGCTCATCTCAGTAGATATGCTGAATAATACACATTGGATTTAATTATATATTACAACATAATCAAACAAATTTGTAGTCATCAAATAATTAGAATAGTATATTTCCATTTAAATAAGTTACACTATGAACAGAAATGTACTCGTCCTTTTTTACATGAATTGATTTACAAAATAAACCAAAAAGGCATTATGTTGACTAATGCATTCCATGTTAGAAGAGTTTGAAGACCGATGTACTATGTTTGCTGATATCAGCAGGAGCACGGACCAGACAGGACGTACACAGTAAAACAAAAGGCACGCCGCCCAACAGGTATACTCTACGCACTAATTTAAACGTGGTAACAATAACATTAGTATTTCTGATATAAACAATGAATAAACTTAACTCCATACAAACTAAAAATCTGTATTTCGACCCCTTTGTTATTCTATGAATATGATTTATTTTGATATATCATGAAATATTATAAAAAGTCCCCGAAAACTCCATGTTCTAACAATGATCTATCATCAGTCAACAGCTATTTTGATCTGCCGGTGGTTAGGTGTTGGTTTTTCATTGCGTAACACATATTACTGTCGCTTTCTCTGAATGCTATGCACTGAATCTATATACAATAAGTGATGCTGCTAGAAACGTACAATAATATGACAGGATTGCTAATAAGATATGTTGCCAGGTAACAATAAAGTGTTGCTAGGTAACAGCAAATTAAGAGTTGTTGGATGACGTCTTTTTAAAGCGTTGCCAAGATATAGTTCCACCTAACGTTATCGCTAGGTGTTGCTCTCCGCTACGCTAAGCGTTTTGGTGCTGCTGATCTAGGTCGTTGCCATTCTCTTCGATACTCCCGTTGGTTTCGTTGTGTTTGGAGTGTCCATTGAGGAACCGCAGTCCAGGGAAATCCAAGGAGGGCAGAGAATGCCTGGGAGACGATCGGGTAGATGAACAACCTTCGTCTAATTCCGTGATCAGAGAAAGTGTCGAACTGTCGATTTTAACTTTACACTTTTTCTTGCCGATCGTGGCTGCAACATGGTAAATGGATATGCTATATTGTATTATCGAGGTTTTTCCATTGGAAAAGAAGAATATGTATATTCAACACAAGTTGGCGATATCAATGTGAACATGTTGGATACAGTATCTGTTTGTATTTTGTTTTGTTGCCCGATCACTGTTATAAGATGTTCTGGTAATAAAAACCAAAAACAACCACGAATACTAGTACATGTATTACTCTACTATCACATATGATATTTGCTCTGGTATATATATATTTGATGGATTACTAAAATAGTAGTATTTTGGTGTAGGAGCACGTAGAACAAATCATGTTGAATTCAGAACTTATTCATTAAGGAGATATATGTAATATCTATATTTGCGTTTGCATCCACAGCTTTTTTTAAATTGCTTAGCTTGTTTAAATTAAGAATGATTATGCGTTTTTGCACTGCTTCTATGAATAACTAATTAAACACTCGTTGTGTTTTTCAATAAGGGTACCTATGTAATTATGTTTAGATGTGTTGTCAGTCCCTAAGACAGTTGGAGTCAAATAGACACGATGACCCCAGATATTACTGGCCACTTATTGACCATTTATAGCGATATCTTACTGAAATGTCAAAACCTAAATAAGTAAGCATGTCATATAATCCTAGCAGGCACATTATTGCGAAAATAGGTTTATCGGAGAGAGAAAAAGAAAAACTATCTGTAAATAGAAGAGTAGATCAAGTATGATCGCTTTTGTATCCTCAACAATATTACACAGAAGCAAACCGCCCATTCCGAAATGTGGTCAAATATCATTCACCTCTTACGATCGTCCAATAAAAAGCAGCATGCCTATTATTTTATAACTGCCCTGATATTGGAAGATCTGCTATTTATCAGAGTTATCTTTCCTAGTTCACCTATCTATCAAATGTGAATGATTTTATAATCTTCTGTTTTCTCGATGTATTTTCACAGGAGAGTAATTTCCAAGTTAATTCAAGTTGTGATTTATTTAATCTTTCACGAGTATTAATTTCCTAATTAATTGCTATATTTATTAACACATTGTCTTCGCAATCGCGAAATGAAATATGCACGACTAAAAGTTACAGACATAGCTCACAGAAAAGATACAAAGACTTGAACTATGCATGTAAAGCACTGCAGCATAACATACCACGTCCTTGTGCCAAGGAAATGATACGATTAAAGACAAGGCAGTTAAGACAGTTAAAGAAGAATAAAAAACAATTCAATCAAATATATTCATACAATTTTACACAGAATAAACAGTCCTATGGGGTTGTAAAATATAATAATCGTGAAATGAAAGAAGGGAAAACTGAATAATAGTAAAGAAATGTTGTTTTATATTAATTACATTTATATTGTTTTTTGATTTTACTTACGTTGATATTTTTGCTCTGCCTTGAGACAATGATCGATCTTCCATTCGTCTAGACCTTCTGCTAGGCACAGACGCTTTAACGCGTTGCATTGATACTGCAATATAAAACAAAGGGATTTAAAAAATTAAATAAAGATGGTGTTAATCTTCAAACAGGTTCTGGTCTTAATGAAATCAAAACAAAAACAAAGGCAAAATCTAAGCGTTTGAAAGACTGAAGAGGATTCACTGGATCTGTTGTTTAAGCAGGTTTAATATTGCACTAAACGCATATTGATAATCCGAAATTAAACCGGTATTGTGAAAACATTATCCATCGTACGACCAAATATACATCCTTTTTTATGTTTTTTTATTTTTATTTCTAAAGTCTTCATCTAATCTCCAGTTTATACATATAAGGGCCAAGCTATTCAAATCCATATTTACTTAACAAAATCTTAACTAAACATCCAATATCTTTTCAAACAGATAGAAATTCAGAAATTATTTTCTTGAGGTATTTAAAAAGATTATCTAAAGATGAAAAAAAAAAAAATCTTTGTAAATATCAATATACTGTACTTTGTACCCCTGCACGTTGTGCCGAGAAACTTAGCCATGTACAAACGGATGTGTCAAAAACAGAATAAAGAGAAGTAGTATAACCTGCACTTCAGCCCCGTAGTAATTGTTTACACAGACGCATTAGACATGCAGCAATCACTGTGTTTTTTAACCAATCTATCAACATGTTGGAGCTGTTTGTTTTCTGTATGTGATCCTAGAGCATAATTCATAACGATGAGAATATCAGCTGTCGACAGGAAACATTTACAAACAGCAGCAACCAGGGTTTCCGGTATCTGCATTCAGGGTTAAAAGAACAGATATTTTAAACTCTGTCTTTCAAATCTGTCCATCAGCATCATTAATTGATATTTTCTTGACTAAATAAAGACTATTGAAAGTATATATATACCTTTAAACCTCGTTTTGAATATGACGATGTTTTTGTCTATATTATTTATTTATTTTATAGAATTTGAAAGGATTGTCCATAATGTTATTTGATAAATGTTTTATTCAAACATTTGACTTACTGGGACATTATTGCAACGTACAATATTGTACTCACAACCAGACTGGTTTTCTATTATAACCATATGACATCACTAAACCAAATTACAACTAACTAAAACTAACTAAAATAGTTGATAGTGGAGAAAAATGCGTAAATCATCTATTTTGACTTTAAGTGATCTTGTACAAATTCGCAGTAAGCATCAGTATCAAATCAAAATATCACACATACAATTATTTATAAATAAAGTACGACACACAGAGAGAAACGTTAAAGAAGGTAAATCCGCAAAATTAAGCTTGCGCGAAATATAAGTAATCCGCAGTTTAACTCCCTAGAATTCATGACAACATTGGCTCTCTTCCTCTTACAGTTAACTAAGAACGCAAACACCATGAAATTACGTTAATTAAGCTTCAATGAGTTAGCAACGGAGTTGTGGAGTCTGAAGCCTTACGTAAAAGACAGCGAGGTCAAATATGAAAAACAAAAGCTTTAATTTCAAGGTCAGAACAAATATCACCCTCCCTTAATGTGATGTAATGTAAGCTATGATTGTAGCAATAAGCATGATGATTACACAGGCCAAACTTTGAAAGGAACGGTGCAGACGTTTTGAATTAGATTGTTTGGTGTTTTGCATTCTCGTAATATCTATGATCATTTGAGGACATTTGATGATGATGCCATTTAAATGCCCGTCCTTACCACCACCCAAATCAATATGAAGGTAACGTAGAGAGAAGTAAGAACAAATGTTAAAGACTTTAGTGTGTCTCGGTCAGAGGACAGAAAGCAAACGTTCCCCTCTTGGGTGAACCCAAATGCTAAAAGCGAAATGATTCCCAAATGTTGCAATTAGTGAATTAGATATTTCTTATATTATATATTGTTGTTACATAGCTTTACCGATTCATTTGATGACGTCACCGAATATAACATCACTATTAAAACTGCTTTGTATCATCCGTTTGAAGTGTCTTTCAAACAAGATTAAAGTGTTTTAGACTGTTTGTTAAGAATCTATTTGCTCTAAATTACTTCCTCGTTCGTAAGGAATTTTATAAACATGTATATGTATGTACATCACGCTAATTGTATACACTAGTAATACCTTTAGAAAGGATGAAAACGGAAACTTTTAATTACTAACGCATTAGGCTAAGTTAGGCTAAGAAAACCACTTACCTTAAATATTTGCATTCTGACTTCCGCCTCCCTGAGATTATGCTGGATCTTCTTCTTACGACTATAGACAAGCTTTAACCGGAAGTGTTCATGGTCCTTCACAGCCACAACCAGACCTGTCGATCAAAGAGTACTAACTCAGTGTTTAACCAAACATAAACAAAATCTCTTATGGAATTTTGCGAACGTCATGGTACAAGTAGCAATGACAGCATACAGCATACAATGTAACAACGTGGACGCAAGACCATCAAAGAGGGTCGTCTAACACTGTCAACCATATATTTGGTCCTTTGTGACCAACAGTCCTTTCCTGGATTTGCCGGATGCCCTGAATGAAATATCTAACCGTTCTGGGAGACCTGATATCGCCTCCTGTATTGTCCTTACCTCAAGATGTCCTTCCTTTTGGTTTGGGTTCACTTTATCTGCCAAAACGGATTTGCATAGGAATCAAATCAGTACCTGCACACTTCGTACTTCTGTGCCAGTTTAACAAAGTGTTTAGTAGCGATACATTTGTACTCTGTCACTCACAGGTTAAGTTTCTCCATAACTTTGCATCATTTCATTTCATAACCTTTATCAGTGCAAGCTAGAAACATCAGTTGCAAGTGTACGGGTAATTTATTGTACATCTGAAGACATAACTAAGATACTTACTTCAGAAGGCACAGACCACTTTTCGCAGAAGGCATAACACACTTACTGTCGAACACAGAATAGATAGAAGAATTACATCACTTAGTACAGAAGACGGACAACACTACAAAAGACACCAGATACGTAAATTTACTATGGAAGGCATAACGCACTTATTATAGACGTCGTAGAACGCTGTAGTAGACAAAGACTTACTGTTGACTACCCGGATGACCCTCCAAGGGAGCAGAAAGGCCAGTATGAAAACAAAGTCCCTGGTATCATACATTGGAAGGTACACCATCAGACAGGTGTCAACAATAAAGGACGTAATCACAATGAACGCATCGAATACCTGCAAACGACAAGTGTATTTATATTCTTTGTTTGTAAGGCAACAAAGCATAACAGAGGTTCACGTGCATGTTAAATTTGTTTTCCTCTCCTTTTTACCAAGGAAAGTTTAAAATGAATATTTACATGAATATTCTTTGCATGTAACTAAACTCCTTAGTCATCCATTTCGATTAATTGGTTGAGCATAGTGTCATTGAACTTCAAGACACAAGATGTCGAATATCATTATAATGTTGCACAAATAAATGTACACAATCTCTTTACAGCTGTTCTAATGACACAACTTCTTCAATATATCTTTGCCGATGTTAACTACGGTTTATATGTGTTTTTACACGCACAAGTAAGTGGTACGATTACCAGTGTATTTCCTAATCACAGGACTGTGAATGTCTTACTTTAACATCAAGCAATAGCAGGGAGTCTTGACTACCAATTACATATCAAATATTACAAATGTATTATTGCACTGCTATGATAAAGTTTTAAGTTTTAAAATATCTACCGGTTTATATAGAGAAGCTTTACAATCAGTATGTACGAGCAGTTGGATCTTTTGAATAAAACAAAACAAAACGAACGTGGTTTTTAAACACCCCAATTCCGTCCACATCCATGTAAAGGTTTAACTGTATCTTGAACTTAAAATATCGTTAATTATCTTTATCACGTCGAAGATAGGTACATACAATCAAACGAAGAAATAATTTTAGTCCAATCATTCTAAACTTAAACAAACGGTAGCATTTTTTCCCTTTGATAATTAATATATTAAATATCATATTTCACAGATGATGTTATTCAGGCAATTCATGTAAGTTGGAGTTACAATAACAAATTTTCAATTGTTTCAAAATGATCAATTGGAATGTGAATATCACCGCGACTACAGGAAAAAATACGTTGAGGGATGAGGCAGCTTACAGAGTGATATCAGGGACAATAACAGTTTAATGATATCCTCTAAAAATTGTTATATTGTTCAAAAGATATGCTTTCAGAAAAATCACGATATCTGTTGCACTTACCTCGAGACGTCGATGAAAAAATATACAACCTGCACATAGTGCCTTGAGTATGGTCTGAAATGATGCAGAACAATTGCAATAAATGCGTATTCAACTCTCCATCGAATATATCTCATATAACAGTGAACGTCACATTGATATATAAAAAAAACAGCAAAGCAAATAGATTAACAAGTCTTAAAATTACAACAAAACTTTTATTATATTGTGTTTTATTATAAAGTCAGCAACATTCACAATGTTATGACACAAGACAGCTTTAAATGTTCTGTATATAAGGAACGTCGCTGATTGACTGTTGATGACGTGAGTCGAGATGCTGGCCCCTAATTGGTCAAAGTTATCTGAGGAGTTGCGTTCCTTGGCTCATTAGACAGTTAACAGCAGATCCAATTCGATATGTAGAACCCGCCAACTTTCATCCCCATTTATATTTAATCAGTACACAAATTTCCAGGCTTCCAGTATTTTGACATTGCGTTTTTTGTCAACCCCACTTAAGCAAGCTCATGTAATTGGTTATAGTATTGTAGTTGCTACCATGCTTGGTATATTTGTAACTACTTTGAAACTATTTGTTTTTCCAAGTAAATACACGTTTTTGTTAGAAGCAACGTGGTGGTTTTATCAGTAAAAAAATTACAAATGTCACTCTTTGGCTGGCCTTTTTACATTCTCATTTTTTGTTGGAGCTCTTGTTGTTATGAGTACAGAGGCATAAATGACCTTAATATGATGAAATAGTATATAGCAATCCTGACTGTAACAGCTAACCGTGAGGTTTACTCTTATCTTCTCGTGAGTATTAAACAAAGGGCACAAGGATACCATGAACGCCTTCACCAACTTGTCAGAAATTGAGGCAATCGATTTAAGAAAGAGGAACAAAACAAAACTGAAAAGCTGAAATACAGTTTAACTGACTGCCAGAAACAGACAAAAACATTTAGAAAGAGACATGATTAAAGGACTTATGACAAACGAAAAATAATAAAAGTACAAACCTCTAATAATATAATCCCTAATATAGATATACTAGCAAAATGAAATGCATGTGCTATGTCTTCCTGTATGCTTTGTCCTTTAGAATGGTGATGTTCATTGACGGCAGCGTCATCCACTATAAAGTGATTGTCAGAAGTCTGTGCCGCGTGTTCCGTCGTCTTTGTTAAAGTCCTACGGTAACGATTCGTTATGTTGTTTACATTGAGGTTTTCCTCCTCAGTGTGAGCTAAATTATACTCTGATATGTTCCACTGGATAGATGCTGCCATAAGCATATCAAACACTTCCGGAAACTGCTTCCCAATCAAATAGTGCTGATGCTGACTCCTCATGTTCTTTAAAAACGTAGTCGTGCTCTCGGTTAATTTTTCATTCTCTTCAAGAGTTACTGAAAATAAACCGTAAAGCCACGATTAAAATCCATATAAAAAGTATTGTTCTTCAATACCATAATACCAAAGCATACATTTTTAATTGTAACATCGGTATTTGCATCCATTGTGACGTCACAATGAACATAATAACAATTTGCATCAAAAGGCAAAACTTATGACGTTTTATTTTTATTTTTGACAGCCTCAATATGTACAAAATGGTCATTGCACATGTACGTTTGTTAAAAAATATGTCATTTCCGTCACATCTTCAACTAATCTCACTGAAGCCCGTGTCCTATAAATCATTTTTAATGGTGGACGTGGTCGAGTTCCTCTTTATGTGGGGCTATATATCATCTCCATAAGTAGGCCAGTTGCTTTTAGGTATCTCTTTTTAATTGAATGCTGCCCTACATTTAGCAATTCTGAATGGATTTTGTCTATAATTTATTTCATACGGATTCACCAAAATGAGTAAAAGGATTAATTTAACTGAGAGATGAAGGTCATCGTATTATATTTTCCTCAACGGCTATCTAGTACGATGGTATGACCTCCTGATACTAATTTAGATTAAACCTCAGTATACCGGCAAAACTTTACTTTTCCGTAGAATTTATTCTTTACAGTAGGTGTCAGCATCAGAAGTGGTTACACATATAAAATGAGTGTGAATTAATAAAATAACATTTTGAAAAACATCCTTTGATCATATTTGTTTGAACAATTGCATCTCACCTCTTTCATTGTAGTATCTTATGACCTATGTAGATTGATATTTCATTTCGTCGGTAACGGTTAAATCGTTGTATTTTCTTTCTTTTTTATATTTTTTCTATAAATAATATCTTTAATATTGTGTAAATTTAGAGTTAACTCGTAAGAGGTACTTTATCGATGAATGTCTGTGTAGGATTCCTAAGCTATTCACTCCTTTGACCTTGTGTAGATTTAAAGTTATCTCCCCTAGTTATTTGTCTGGGTCGCTTTCCTTCTTAGATACCTGTATACATGACTTTGGCTTAGTGTAAATATAAGGATGTTTTTCGTTTTAGGATACCAATATAATTCATACCTTTGACCTTATGTAGATCAAGCGTTAGCTCCCCTAGTACAAGAGCACAGTCCGTTATACACAACACGACGACAGTCAGGAGCATGTACTTGCTCTTAAAGAATTGGTAGCCCTTTCTTCTCCACCTGCAACATCAATGGTGTGCGTTAATGAGATGATACGATAATAAGTATTACCTCAGGATTTGTTGGCATACATTAATGAGTATCACTGATGCTAGGTTGAACATGAGAGGAAAGTTACAGTAACAGTCTCCTCATTGTTCTTTGTTACACAACATAACAACAAAATATGGGTAATGTCAACGCGAACATTTCTATACCGCAAAATAGTTCTCCCTAAAGATATGAAACAAGAAAACGTCCAAACTCCCTTTTATAACATTTCACAAGTCAACGTTAATGTGTAGCATGGCTTCACCTATGCATATATATATGCACTGTACTGATAAATCGCAAGGTTTAAGGTAATAAAGAATGAATGACCTCATTGATGAATATCTCACTGGATAAAAAAAATCATTTTCTAGCAAATGTTGACGAGACATTAATGTTCCACACTCTCATTAAATATGATATTATTAGTAGGATCAACTATTTCTCATAAATCAATATTTCAATAAGAAACATGTACCAGTTTCATGTTTGTTGAATCATTAATTTAATAGATAAGGGGGGGGGGGCATTTTTATCTTTATCAAAAGACTTTATCCACTTATTGCCCTGGTGTGGGGTAGACCTGAAGAGTTGTTTCCCCGAGATAAATCATGATTCATCGAGGTGGAACAACTATTCAGGTCTCCCTCACACCAGGGCGATATAAGTGTTTTATTATTTCGAAACTCCATCTGTGGAGTCTGTGTACATTAGGCAATGTAACGAGCCCCTGTATGGTCACTCTTGTGACTGACCTGTTCGCCCTTATTTCATTAGGTCTGGTAGCATATATATACTCAAAATACCTATCACCGTCAGTGTTGTGATTTTACATCAAATTAAACAACAATAATAGCCCTTCAAGATCTTCAGCTGAGCTGTTCGGAGAGGGGGAGGGAATCTCTCGTTCGCAGCCATTTTCGATGTTTATGGTGTCGTCCGGAACACATCGGGCGTTAGAGAGTCTCACAAAGAGAGACAAATCGTCTGGTAAAATGTGAGGGGTTCCGAGAGGAATACTCGACAAGGAAAATGAAGACTCGATATTTTAAAATCATGTCATGTGATGTGTTTAAACCAATCAGATACGCTGTAAAATCGATGAGGAATAATAATATATATTCCTGTTCAGCAACTAGCCTATTTCCTTAATAAGCTAATTGCTGAACAGATTAGCATATCACAGTAGATGCTACTGTGAATATTGCCAATGTCAGCTTTGTATGGCATTCTAGGCGAGGACATGGCGTGGGGCATCCATCAAAGCAATAGCACTTTACGAACCGGCCCAATTATTTTGATTTCACATTTTTTGTTAGATTGTGAACACGTCAAATTCAGAGCTCGCCTCATAGAAAATCACATCTCTTATAATATCGAATTTGAAAACAATTCTTTTTGTCGACTGTCAGTTATTTCTGGGACCAGAAAAAATAATGGCAAAATATCATCAAAAAATATTTTATGATGAAATTAACATTAGAATGAGATACTAGTTGTTTATGGAAAACGGTTTCAAATCTATAGATTTTTAAATTCCATTGGTTTTTCTTGGGATGCCTTTACGAGATAACCAATTAAGGTAAGATTCGCAAAACCTGATCGTCTACTTCGTTCAAATCTTAAAATGGAGAACCAAATTAATTGGGACAGATGTGTGCGCGTATTTGCGCTTCTTCGATTAATTCATACAAAGATACTATGCGAGCATACCATAGGACACATCAGCATTAGGCAGACCAAAATGGTTACAAACGGAAGCTAGACGTTCCACATGTCTGTTTTCACAAGTAGTCATCCCTTACCTGGACATGATGTGCCACAACAAGCAAGATACTCATTAAAATGTATGCCCATATAAGTAGTATATACCGTCAGGCAGCAATGCCATGTACATGTAAGCAAGAACTAGGATCAACATAATAATCTACAAAACCGTGTTGCTTTTATTCCGTATCATGCAGTGTTCATACAAGTTAGGGGAAACGTGAGTACAGGGAACAAAAATATAAAGAAATGACACGTTCCTGACTCATTTTCCGTATGCAAGACGTGGGGAGGGAATACGTCTACAATAATCTCTCCTCTTTTTCACTTAGAACATCCTTCTTTCTCATACAATGAGCTTGACCTAAGAATGAGAAATGTTCACCCTGATTTCTCCTCTACGACACTCTGCACATTCTTGTTTCCCATACACCGAGCTGGAACTATGGAGGAGAGAATCGTAACCTTATCCTCTACATCTCTTTACAAGCTCTTGTCCTACGACCATTGTACAGGACCTTGGGAGGGGTAAAACATTGCCCTAATACCTTCTCAGCATCATTTTTCATGTTCATATCTATCACACGTTGCACCTTGCTTATACCAGGGGAGATGAAATGTGTATATACAGGGTGCCCGATTTTGGCTAGAAGATAATCGACTTTCTCCAGATACGACCTCAGTTATGAGATTAGGTCTATTGCTCGTAGCTTTTACCTTAAGTTTTATAATTAAAGCAAACTTTTTATAAACTCTATGCATCCTGCTAACACTTTAAAAGTGATTAGAACGTCCTTCATGTTCTATAAATACTTGATTAAGTCTGCAGTTTTAAAGTTATACGATGCTTGATCATTTTCCAAACTGAAATGGTGTTGAAATTGACAATGTTTGTTCCACAATTGACGTTCTGTAATCGAAGTAAGCGTAATAGGTTATGATTAGAGACGCCGACTTTGTAGAAAAATTAGTATTTGCTACAGAGCATTGCATACTCCGACATCAAGACAATGGTGGTCAGCACAGTACCGTTACATGTACCGAGACTCGTAACGTGACGACTGAAACTTCACGATAGTTAACTTTCTCCCTCTGTTGTAACATTCCAGCCTGTCCCTGCTTATTGAGTTAACATATCGTAGTTGAATCGCTTTTCCAGCGCCTGGTCTTAGTTTGAAGTATCCAGGTTCTTCTTCACAATTAAACCACAACTGTTTTCAATCGTTTTCTCTCCACGTTGTAAGTTCGACCACAAAACTTATTAATGTGTTGATTTTTATTAATAACATCAATTGTGACGTCAGACATTAAAACATATTCATAACGGTATGACAGTATGACGTCAAAGTTCATGTTATAAGTATTGGGTAATGATGACGACATTGCACACTTGATTATCGTCAGAGAATTTGCTTTGCGAATATTTTCATAATTGCGTATTTTACTAATATATACCGTTCCCTGTGGTTCGTTATATATATATTTACTGTAAAAAACATATTCATTGTATCTAAAGGGGTTCATTATATCACAAACATGTGTTACTAAGAAGAACTTATTCATTGTGTCGTTTAAGTTTCAATACAAATGTATAAACCGTAGCTACTACAATTAGTGTTTTTTTTATAAACGTGTTTTTCTTTAAAACAAAACCCCACAATAACTCGTTCTCCTGAAGTTTATAATAATTAGTAACAAGATTAAATGAAGAGATTTAATCCATTGTGTTGTCATGGGTTCCATAAAGATGTGGTTGGCTGAATAGAACAAATACGAGTATGTTGTGTCCTTTGAGGCTCAATATCAACGGGTTTTTAATACAAAAACTCATGTACAGTTGCTCATATTGTCAAGTTTTATTTCTAATTTTGCAAATTTTGCGAATGTGTTAAAATTCACGAAATTAAAACCCTCGTGAAGTTCGTCGGGCTGTTCGATGCTAGTTGTAACAAACACTCGAAACTCTTTGCGAGGTGTTCCGAAAAGCATTTACAGAAATTATAATTCGAGAAATAAAACACGTATGATTAAGTTCCGGAAACAAAATCGCGAAATTTAACAACAATAAATTATACAGTAATTCAGTATAGCTTTGTCTTTTTATCGACATCCTATTCTGAAAAGAAAATTGTGAGATATAAATCCGGAAAGTTATTGTTTATCCCCGCCTCAGCTGTCATCGGAATTCATCGTGTGGTATGTTGATTTAAACTCGGTTATCCAGCGATAGCAACCAAAACAAAATACGGTAAAGTAATATGTAGTGAGACTATAGAGTCTGTGCTGTGTAACTTGACGGTTCTGGAATCAACGAGGTCGTTCCAAAAGTAAATATTGTACCTACATGCAATGATGTATTACATGGCAGTAATTCTGTAAGACACATGGAAACCTTGGATGAGAATTGGAAGTAGAGTAGGGAACAAATGTAGGGAGGAGGGGTGAATACATGGGAGGTAATAATAACAAAATCTATTAATTAGCATAAACAAAATGGCGGAGCAAACCCGAACGCACGATTCGCGTCCATTGACTAATATTATCCTATATTTGCAGAACAATCCTATTTAAATCCAACGAAATTGACAAAAGAACCCACATCGATCACTAAGCATTAGACATGTATGATATAAAATGAATAAACGTAACATTTCATTTCAGTTAACTCTAAAAAAAACTACTACGATGTGATAAAAAGAATATCAATCAGTTTATGTTAGAGGTACTTTCACAGCAAGCAACCGTGCACCTGTGTCACAATTCTCATACAAATTTATACAACGTCAGCTCTTTTACATCACACGCACGTCACATGATTTTATATCACCTGTAAAAACACCATATACAGTAGCACGAGACATTTAAATGAAGAGTGGCACTATATGTTCGTGTTACCTGCATATATAACAAATCGGTAAAATTATATACGCTAGTGTTTTTTAGTAATTCATAGTAAAACTAAACAGATTCCAAATCGATTGTGTTCGAGGCAAACCTTCAAAACGTCTTTTTCGTTGTAGTTAGACTATATTAACACGAGATCGTTATGAGAGGCAGGTCAAAAGGTCAAAGTGACACCGAACCATTGCGTTCATTATCTAAATAAATGAATTTATAGTGGGTTGCAGCGCAAAGGTGCATAAACATGTAAACGTACCTAACGAAGAAAAACTGCGCAGAATGAAACGCAAATGTATATCCTTTCGAATCAGTAAAAAAGGTCATATTCGCGAAATTCATGTTAATGTAAAAAAAAGTATGCGTTAATACGATACCGAGGCTCAAGCCGGAACAACACTGCACACCGTTTTTATCTTACGTGATAGATAGTCCGATATTTTGTTGATAAAACAATGTACATTGTACATGTACAAGACGTCATATACGTCGGCGCTTTCAATGAATCTGCATATTAGTCCGGTTCTAATGTTCAAATACTTTTTATTCCAACTTGCACTCTAAATTTTATAAAATACATTTGCAGAACAGCATAAATCTATATCTGTGTTTCTTTTAATACTTCATATTTTACAAGTAAGAGCATCATTGAAAAAATGTATAATTGGGAAAGAGTGAGAAAGAGGCAGAACGGCTAGATAAACGATTTCAAGTATGTTTTGGAAATATGATACATTATATGAGAAAACAATATGATTTTGAGTTTGTACAAGTGATTTTTTCTCGACAATCACATGTCTAATATACGACGTGTTTCAGAATAACTATATAAATATGAAATTGTAATTGTAAGCCGCATTAAGATTAAGAAATAGTATGCAAGAAATATTGTTTTTATTACATATGTATCAAAGTTCTCCAAAAAATTACTCATACTTGATCCTGAAGTTGGTTACTAGTTCCTAGTTCCGTTTCAGATAAACGGAACTAGAGTATGGTTCCCAGTTCCGTTTATTTTAAACGGAACTACATGCATGGTCTTGTTCCCAGTTTCGTTAATCTTTTATGGAACTAGGAAGCAACTTCAGTGTCCCTGCTTATTTCATATAATATTTTACATTGCTTCCCGAAAACGATCACCGGATGCAAAGAACGGATTGATGACGAAACGTTGCCATAACAAAAAATGGCGCATAAATGTTCGGAATCCATTCTTGTTTTGAATTGATAAGCCAATGTAATGTGTTCAGTAAAAAAGTACATACGGCAACCAAATCAATACATTGTATATAATACAATATAATCTGTGTTATATGAACCCTTGTACTGAATGACATAAAAACTGTCTGTTTCACTATGGTAAAATTGAGCAGAAATATAATCATACAGTAGATCCAACATAACGACCGACAGGCGAACGAGAATGATCGATGGACGAACAGATCATATATCACGAACATAAATATATCCGTATTTGAAACATTGCATGCGCTTTTGCATTTGCTTCTAAAAATATATATAAGAAAATAATTCCTTGAAAAATAATTAAAATCTACATCTACTAATACATATTGTAAATTTAATCAAATTTAGAGCAGTTTTGAACAAGAAGAAATATCTAAACACTTACCCACAGAATATGATCTTTTGTATTCCCTTTCTGCTTTGCGTATAAAAATCCATTTTTTATTTATGCAGGCTAGATGCTTATGATCGGGTCAAACAGTTGTTTGTAAATGTAGGATACGATACATACCTATATTTATATACACACATTCCGACATGGAATTGTAGTACTTTTAACATGTGGTTAATTTCAAAAATAGAAAGTGCATGATAAATAACAAATTTATATGAAAATGTCATGTGCATCCTTACATTAAAGTACGCTTTGTACTTAAAGATTGAGGTCATTAGGTGCTTACGTAAATAAAAATTCAATAAAAAAAAAAACACTTTTATTTCAGCTCACTCGGCAAGATTATTTTCAGCCTGCTCCCTTCAATTCTCAGCCACCCCATCTTCCCCCTCAACTCGCCCTTTTCAGACCTTTCCTCACTAACTCTCCTTTTTCATTTAACATTTCCTCCGTCACCTCTCTTTCTTCTCTTCTCAGGCCTGTTTCTAGTCCTGCCAGATTTCCCTTAAATCCCTCCTTTCTTAGCTTGTCCCTTCTTTCAGTTGTTTTTCAGCGCTCCTTTTCGTCCTGTCTAAGTCTATTTTTCTTGTCCCTTTTCATCCCGCCGTCTTTCCATACAGTCGCTTCCCAGCCCCTCTTCCCTATTTCTCTAACAATTACAGCCTACCCGCCGCCGCCGCCGCTTGACCCCCCGCCCTTCTCAGTTCATCCCTCTAACTCTCATATTCTTTCCTAGTTAACGTTCATTACACGACTATCCAGCCCTCCTCCCCTGTCGTTTGACTCCTTTCAAGTTAGCCTGTTTCCTCCCTAACTAATATCGGTCGGTAAGCTTCATTCTCTATACCATTACGTTTTGTTTTTAATACTTTTAACTCATGTTTTGTTATCCCAATATCTAAGCAGAAAACGCTTTGTGTTATCTACGCAGTGTTAAGTGTTCCTTTGGATGTTTCTAATGTTACATCTGGGTTAACAATCCACTCAGGACAAGTGTGGTAATATTCATTTTTGATTCTACTTGATGCGGCACCTGTGGTTTTCAAAGGAAAACATGGACCTGGTTTTGTAATTGACGGGTATCAAACAAGCTTTTGTATTACCACAGCTTCAACATGATCATTTGAACGGGTCATATTTCAACATGAGCTATATATTCTCTGGCTGGCTGGCTGAACAGCTTCAGCTAACATTATATGCCCTTGTTAACTTTGAACAGACACACACGTAGGAAACATACAGTGACCAATATTTCTAAGCTCGACGAGAAAATATCTATTAAAATTGATTAATGGTGTACAAAAATATAAAAGATAGCAAAATTGTAATAAAATTCAAAATAGATAGTAGCTATGTAAAGCGTAGTACATCTATAAACACACACAAAAATGAATTTTATGTCTTTACATATAATTTAAGTGAAAGTTATCCTACAACATTAAATAATTATGTAACTGTTCTTCAAGTGCTACAATGTACCAAGGTGACTGTATGAGTAACGTTAACTTGGAGTAATGCCCTGGTTGAGTGCTAGAGGCTATCTACCTACCTGCCGAGGTTTTCTTTTGGAGGGTCGATATCTTGCTGAAGTTCCTCTTCGAGTTCGTTCTCGATCTTTTCCACGTACCCGTGTGTTTTGGCCAACACTAAAGTCTCCGCAACTAATGTCTGAATCACGCAAAGAATAAGCATTGTTTAGGCACCGAGGCGCTGTACATAATCTCCGCCAATAGTAAAACAACCATTTTTGGGAGATTTGATCGGACATACAAGGTCATTGATGTTGAATGTACCACACACTCGTCACGGCACCAAACATTACTATTGTATATGTATGTACCAATAACTGGTCACGGCACCAAACATTACTATTGCTTTCGTATGTAATATGGACTGGTCGCATCACTAAACATCACTACTGTATATGTATGTACCAATAACTGGTCATGGCGCCTGATTTTACTATTTGTTTGGCAGATACATGTGCCTTGGTCATTCATAGCACCAAATCAGACAGTAGCTGTTGCATGCTCGGTGACTGATCGCGGCACCAATCTGTAACTGTACTGGGAGAACTTAACGTGCTTGACTGACCTGTAGATAAACTGGCTACAACAAAAAATACATGTCGCTACGGTACATACCCTTATCGCACTGTCCTTTCGTTTGCCATAGCGTCTCTGTCCAGGGTTAGCCCTTTGGCTGTTCAAGTTTCCAATCCCTGGAAGCATTTATTAGTTGCAGTGTCATCCACCCAATAAAGTCCCGCCACATTCATGTAGGTCACTGTGGGGCCGTCTGCAAAACACAAGGAAGATAACTTATAAAGTAAATGGATTTCAATGAAACTTTTAAGCAATAGACAAAAGTGCCTGATGAATTAGAGACCATCGTAGGACATAACGTACGAATTTTCCGGCACGACGTTGTACATTAGTGAAAGATTATCCTCTTTAAACTTACTATTTCTTTTGTACAGAACATTTCGAATGATTTCAAAGTACAAATATGAGACCAATCCAACCTTTCAATAGTTAAGTCGTTGTGGGTTTTGTGCTTGTGTGTACATTGTAGATAAACAGCACAATAGTATGCAGTTGCTGACGACGTCATTCATGCCATTTATCAACAAACTATCTTCATGTTTTTGCAAGAACTTTCTATACCGGACTGCTTTCAATCATTTTATCACATACAACAGAGAATTCCATAAAACATGTTTTTACAACATGTACACTAATTTTCAATTTGTAACTTTTCCTCACTAGACTATTCGGCACTTGGATGCTTTATGTTTATATAACGTCACTGGAGGTGTCCAACTAGTGTGGAAAAAATAACCATTCTCTACCTAGATAGTATGACAAAATCATCTGAACCTCAGGTTTTGGCATTCAAGAAATTGACCGCCCTAAGTTTTAAAAAAATCACTTCTAAATAGTACAGGAGTCATTCGTACTGGGTTCAGTGCAATATGCAATTAAACACACTCAACAATACTAGGCTCATGGACGTCATCAAAATTGGACTTCGTATAATATGGCATACATATCATCAATATCATTATACATGTACCTGTAGCACACACGTCATCAACATCGGGCTCAGTACAATATAGACGCACATACGTCATCAATATCGGGGCTAGTAAAACAAAGAATAAACGCCATCATCATCAATATTCGGCTACACAATATACATATAGCGCACACGTCATCAACATCGGGCTCAGTACAATATAGACGCACATACGTCATCAATATCGGGGCTAATAAAACAACGAATAAACGCCATCATCATCAATATTCGGCTACACAATATACATATAGCACACACGTCATCAACATCGGGCTCAGTACAATATAGACGCACATACGTCATCAATATCGGGGCTAGTAAAACAAAGCATATCATCATCATCAATATTCGGCTACACAATATACATGTAGCTCACACATCATTGATATCCAATTCAATATCCACAATCCTGATAAGAAGCATGGTTACATTGCGAAACTTATAGCTTCTCGTTTATAAATATAAACACGGTCCATGCACCTATAAGGAAACATGTGCGCATGTCTAATAATATTCGATTTGTAGACGGAAACATGGCGACGTTTCATTTTAAAACCCAATTTATATTGATTTATCGACATACCTTACTGCATATGTATTGACCAAACAGCAGGTGGCGCTGCACGTTTCTACAGAACGTGCTTTTCTCGTACACGTGTGGTCAACTCATGTAGCAGATTAGACGGGCGATCAAACGACACAGAAATCTCCAATATTTTCCCCCCGCTGTCTTCGTGATCAAAGTGCAACATATCCCGTGCACATTTGTCCTCTGTTATAATTATCAAGTAATGAAAGTTATCCTTATATCTCCTTCGCAATGTGCCGATGATGTCATAATGTACTGTACCACAATATCAACATCCTCGATCGATATTTCAGACTACAGTACAACGATGACACCAGGTCTCCACATAGAAATCAGGTTAACTTGTCTGTTACCTATACGTGATAATGACAAAAGCATACTCATTAAAGGGTTTAATACTGATTTATACACTATAAAGTATGCACTAAAGGGACAAATATCGAGGTTCTGAAAAGCATTCTTATAGAAGACTTTTACTTTATCAAATTCGGTCATTTTGGTATATCGACAAAAATCTTTGTTTATTTTTATTTACAAATGGACAAGAAGGCGTTAATGATGTTGACGTAAGCCTTTGATCATGTCGTATAGTAAATATAAACAAGTGAGATAAACTCGGTCAACGATTTCTATGGAAACACCAACCAGAGAATTCACAGATAAGAACAAAAGGAAACAAGCATCAGATCCTTGCTGTCATCTTCGGCGTTCCAAAGAAACAAAAATAATTAAGTTCCCAAATCTGCAACGAGTTTTACAATGATTCTTTCTACGACGCTTCACATACACTATAACGCACATTCCAGTGCTAAGTCTTTTAGATTTAAATCTACAACTGTTTGAAATTACTTCTATTTTTTTTAAAAAAAAATACGACAATACTTGATTATTTTTAAAGGTGCCAACCGAATTTCAGCCGTTTCTAACGAATTTCATATATCTCGAAAATTTCAGATACAATATTTTATTAAACATATATACAGGTATAATCTGATATTTCCACACTGACGAATCTCATTGAAGGTATAATCTGGCATACATTTTATCGTTCTTTTAAATCTCGATGAAACTTTATATGTTTGCATTAATACCGTTTCAGTGTCTTGTTCTGTTCAAACCCTGTGCTGTTAGCTGTATTTTTATCTAAACCTCTTACTAAATGCAAATGTGTATATGGTCGTAAAGTTAAATGAAGGGCGGTAATTACCAGCGTTACAATAACTTGACAATGAAATTATTACCTTCACACCATTCAGTATCATTCCTCGGGTATTTAAGGCATCTCAAAAAGTTCATTTTAAACTAAACGGTAATGAACGTCTTCATGAGAAGTGTTAATTAACCGTTTAATTATAATCGCCCTGTTAAATCTGAAGATCTGCGCCAGTGATATGGTTAACCAGTGGTACGTAGCCTTGACTTCATCAGCTGTGTTTTCTCACTGTCCCCGCATACAATAAACCAGAAACTCGCTTTAAAATGAAATATTTCAGGAATTTAAACGTTTCAATGAAATGTTCTTTTATTTCCGTTTACCCGGCCTGGCTAGTTTAGTTAAGTCTTCCTGAGACGAGACCACACATTGACAAATGAAGAGTGCGAACCTTCTCAAATGCTTTAACCTAATTTCAATGAAACCGGTCACAAGCCAGTGTGGAAAGAGAAGCGGTGAGTGGGGTCCCAGCTAACAGACATGTGAGAGAAGCGGTGAGTGGGGTCCCAGCTAACAGACACGAAAGAGAAGCGGTGAGTGGGATCCCAGCTAACAAATATGAGAGAGAAGCGGTGAGTGGGGTCCCAGCTAAAAGACATGAGAGAGAAGCGTTGAGTGGGGTCCGAGCTAACAGACACGAGAGAGAAGCGGTGAGTGGGGTCCCAGCTAACAGACACGAGAGAGAAGCGGTGAGTGGGATCCCAGCTAACAAATATGAGAGACAAGCGGTGAATGGGGTTCCAGCTAACAGACACGAGAGAGAAGCGGTGAGTGGGATCCCAGCTAACAGACACGAGAGAGAATAACGGTGAGTGGGGGCCCAGCTAACAGACACAAGAGAGAATAGCGATGAGTGGGATCCCAGCTAAAAGACATGAGAGAGAACCGTTGAGTGGGGTCCGAGCTAACAGACGAGAGAGAAGCGATGAGTGGGGTCCCAGCTAACAGACACGAGAGAAAATAGTGGTGAGTGGGATCCCAGCTAACAAACACGAAAGAGAAGCGGTGAGTGGGGTCCAAGCTAACAGATACGAGAGAGAATCGGTGAGTGGGGTCCCAGCTAACAGACACAAGAGAGAATAGCGATGAGTGGGATCCCAGCTAACAGACATGAGAGAGAAGCGGTGAGTGGGGTCCCAGCTAACAGACACGAGAGAGAAGCGGTGAGGGGGGTCCCAGATAACAGACACGAGAGAAAATAGTGGTGAGTGGGGTCCCAGCTAACAGATACGAGAGAAAATAGCGGTGGGTGGGATCCCAGCTAACAAATATGAGAGAGAAGCGGTGAGTGGGGTCCCAGCTAACAGACACGAAAGAGAAGCGGTGAGTGGGGTACCAGCAAACAGACACGAGAGGAAGCGGTGAGTGGGATCCCAGCTAACAGACACGAGAGAGAATCGGTGAGTGGGGTCCTAGCTAACAGACACGAGAGAGAAGCGGTGAGTGGGATCCAAGCTAACAGATACGAGAGAGAATCGGTGAGTGGGGTCCCAGCTAACAGACACAAGAGAGAATAGCGATGAGTGGGATCCCAGCTAACAGACATGAGAGAGAAGCGGTGAGTGGGGTCCCAGCTAACAGACACGAGAGAGAAGCGGTGAGTGGGGTCCCAGCTAACAGACACGAGAGAGAAGCGGTGAGTGGGGTCCCAGCTAACAGACACGAGAGAGAAGCGGTGAGTGGGGTCCCAGCTAACAGACACGAGAGAGAAGCGGTGAGTGGGGTCCCAGCTAACAGACACGAGAGAGAATAGCGGTGAGTGGGGACCCAACTAACAGACACGAGAGAGAAGCGGTGAGTGGGGTCCCAGCTAACAGACACGAGAGAGAAGCGATGAGTGGGGTCCCAGCTAACAGACACGAGAGAGAAGCGGTGAGTGGGGTCCCAGCTAACAGACACGAGAGAGAAGCGGTGAGTGGGGTCCCAGCTAACAGACACGAGAGAGAAGCGGTGAGTGGGGTCCCAGCTAACAGACACGAGAGAGAAGCGGTGAGTGGGGTCCCAGCTAACAGACACGAGAGAGAAGCGGTGAGTGGGGTCCCAGCTAACAGACACGAGAGAGAAGCGGTGAGTGGGGTCCCAGCTAACAGACACGAGAGAGAAGCGGTGAGTGGGGTCCCAGCTAACAGACACGAGAGAGAAGCGGTGAGTGGGGTCCCAGCTAACAGACACGAGAGAGAAGCGGTGAGTGGGGTCCCAGCTAACAGACACGAGAGAGAAGCGGTGAGTGGGGTCCCAGCTAACAGACACGAGAGAGAAGCGGTGAGTGGGGTCCCAGCTAACAGACACGAGAGAGAAGCGGTGAGTGGGGTCCCAGCTAACAGACACGAGAGAGAAGCGGTGAGTGGGGTCCCAGCTAACAGACACGAGAGAGAAGCGGTGAGTGGGGTCCCAGCTAACAGACACGAGAGAGAAGCG